AAAAAACAGGTGCCGACTTACCGAAGTACGATAACCGCAAATAGAGACCGTCGCCCCCATGTAGAGCTGTTTTGATGACCGCTGAATAGAACAGGTCGCACAGATTGCCACTTTGGTAGACGACATTCCGGACGTCACACAGACAAGCCACTCCAGCGTATTGCTTAAAACCATTCCCACACGTAATCCCAGCGTCTATGATCCAGCTGACCGAATCACAAGCCGTATACATCTGTACACAGTGCCGTGTTATATCACATTTTTGATCAAGGTTGCCGCAAAGAGCGGTCGAATATGCCGCACGCCCGGGCGATGCTGTAGCCTGATTTGCAGGTTACATTTCAAAACATTGCGCGTTTCTGACTGTAGCTCAATTATTTCTTACTAATTAAAGAGAACTTCAGATTGCAAAAGATTGGAGAAAACAGCCGATTACCGCAGAAGTCTCAGAAGTCTACCATCACGGTCTTGTAATGCATGGATCGCGCGCTAACCTTCCAGAGCTGAGATGCCGTACATTTGGAAGAACATCCAAGAACCGTCCATCTTAAGTCAAAGACACGCGTCTCCCCAAAAAATCATTTCAACAGCCGGAAGCAAGGGTAATTTAAGTTCTCATAAACTAAGTCGGCATCTCGCGCAGAAACTGAAGGATGGAAGAATTCCAAGGACGGACGGTCTGACAAGTGAAATGATCAGAGCAGTTGGTCAGACGAAAAGAAAGGCTCTAGCGAAGAGGTTCTTTTGATAAAAAAAATGGAAAAGGTACAATTATACTAAAAGGATTACAAATAATGTACTTTTCAGGAATGACGAGACGGAAGATCTGAACAGCTATCACTCAGTTTGTATGACTTCACAAGCCTTCAATTCGTCCACTATGACCATCTCTGACAAACTGCTAGCCAATCTGGACGGCCAGTAGCCAAGAGAACAGACAGGATTCCGAATCAGTTAGACCATATCAGATTACGTTTTTACCTTAAATCAATTCCTACAATGCATAAGGAAATTCCGGCTCCGTCTATATACCGGCTTCGCCGACTATGAAGAAACGCTCAACACTGTCTAGAGCAACGCAGTATGGATTGCACTGGCAGAACATCCATCGATATCCATCGCATGAATGGTTATTGCGATCAGATGCCCTGCAAAGGCCATGACAATATTAAACAATTAAAAGATGGAAGTAGCAGACAAATGCATTTACCTGTTACATGAGATCAACGCGCAAAGTTGTCACAGTGGAAGGATTCAATATGGAAAGAGCGCCGGTTTGCGAGCATTGCATGTCATTGAGGACGACCTCTTCGGCAATACCATTAAGGAAACCCGCGTAAAACTTTTCAGTTCTGCCATCCTGCTAGTAATGTTGTACTGCCGTGAGACTTGATCACTCATTAAAGTGGGAGAACTCATCTCTCTGTCCTCAAGATAGCCATGAAAAAAACTGCTGCCAATTTTGCGCTGCGATTACATCCTTACTACGGTGATAAAAGAGCAGAAGAGGATGACGGACGTCTATGTAGAAAGCGCCAAGGAAAACCTGCACTGCGCCTGGCACGCAGGTTTGGTTTCGGAGGGATGTGGTCAACGAGGATCATCATTCTGCGGTTAAACTAAGTGTTTCGTCATCATTCACAATGGCTGAATAATCATATGAAGCGCTGGCAATGCCGTGAGTGCAGAGCGAATACTCGAAACCGCGAAAAATTGCGATTGTGTGCTATGTGCCTATACATGTGATCAAAGAGAATCAAAGAAACATACACTTGTCTTATTGGATAAGTTTTACAGCTGTTAGGTTTGGCCCATATTTTCAATAGCAATTCAGTAAATTTCATATCTGTATAGTCGAAAGATTGAGAGTAACTGTCCTACGATAATTTCTTGTCATACACGCAATCTTTTCTATATAAACGGCTATGTATCTGACGCAGCATTCTCATTTTTCGCTCAATCCGACGATAGTGCTTTGAGAACAGAAGCCATTAATAGAGATATTTCAAAAACAAATGCCGTATATTCGTAGGTGCAATATTTTCCTGTATCTATAATCCTCAATCTTTCCTTACGTCTCCAGCATTGCATACGTAGTCGCACTGTTTCCAGCTGTTTAGAGGACTATTGAAGCACGCACGGCTTGATGGCATTTGCTCCTGCCATGAATTGGCGCTAAACATCACCGCCTTAACATTCCCTAAATTGGACCACATTTAGAAGAGGCTTTCTTTAGTTCTAACGCACAACGATTTTACTTTCAGTCAGTTTCGATGACCCTTTATCTTTTCCGGCTGCGGAAGCATGCGCAGAATGTCTCCGTTCCGATGCTGATTTGTCCAATGTTTGAGCCTCGGCAGAAGATGATCAGACGTTTAAGAAGTCTGTCATTCTTCGCCATTCCAAGGGTAATCCTTGGTGAGTTGAGCAAGAAGTAGTTGTTTTAATTTCCTTTCTAGACGCGTTTACAAACCGTGCCTGAAACTGTCCTAGCTCTTACCTATCAATCTGGCCAAAAGTAGTAGTTGTACATCTATCGCATATTTAAAGTCCAAAAGCTGTCAGACAATTCGTCACAAAAGACCCATTTCATCTGTAAATTAACAGGAACAAGCATCAAATTAAACACAACAAGTTGGTCTTCAGACTTAGTTTCGCCTTCATCACAAAGGTTCAGGCTAGTTGTGCTGAAAACCACTGGCCTATCCAGTAGGCTGATCGATCTCCTGCACTAATTTCCGTTGTGCGAACTTCTCCACCTGTCTTATTGCCACATTCTTTACCTGTACAGCACAAAGAGCATGGAAGGAGAAAACAATAAATATTAATTTCAGACACGTTTATAATTTCCGTCTTTTAGCTCCCACTGGTTGTGTCGTTCTCGTGAAGCCTTTTCTGACGTGCTATAATGACATCGTACAGTCCGCCTCCTCCGTTCAGAACGGTAGCGCTCCGTTGCTAACTGGTATCTTTGTCGTCGTTCCGCCGGTCTTCGTCAGCCGTCGTTGTGCTGCCACGCCCCTGGCTGGCAGAAGGTAATGAGCAGGTTCTGATTTCTGACTG